TGCAAGTAGTGCAAAGGTAAAACCGGGGGTAAAACCTCATACTTGCGATTCAATTAAAAGAGCGCATTGGATTGTGGGAAAATCAATGTTTATCAACACAAATGTCGCACATGCGCGGCGCGACGACCACTGCCATTTAAAAGGCGATAGTCGTCGCGCATGTAAACAAACAATGTATTTTACACGCGTTGTATACGTCGCTGTGAGTCCCACATATCGAATAGGACGTGACGCAACTACCACCTCCCTTTGACACAATATAATGTGTTATATAAATTTAAATCATCGTATACATGTGACATTATCTACAACGAAAGTGTTTCTAAAGTTTATGTGTGCCTTCGGACCGTGACATCCACAGACGCAAGAAACTTTTTTTCACACCGTTAGAGGGGGCTATAATAAATAATTACTATGTTTCAGAATGGCAAACTGACGTATTGAATTTATGCAATCTCCTTTCCATAGATCTTTGCGCCGATCTCTTCTACGAATATATACTTTCGGTGGTCTAACCGCAAGGAACTATGGGAAGGAGAATGTCTTCGCGCTTTACGCAAAAGTACCCCTGTTCTAAGGCTATTAGATGCGGAAAATTGAACCCGTTCTTTCTTTCCAAACTATACATGTTAAGGTAGAAGCCTACTCACAATTTTTTGACAAAATTGGTCATAAATCGCATGACAATGTTCATTAGTACAATCATGAAGCTAATGTCTTATGGTACAATGAAATAGCATTATTTTGTGTGTTACAGTTAAGTTTTTAGAGAAACGTGTTCTAATATTTCTTGAAAATCGCTATTTTTAGAACAATTCCATAGAACACAATGTTAAAGAAAAATTGCATTTTTTGACACTTTTTAAAACCCAGATTTAAAAAAAAAATCAGAACAACAAAAAGTACTCCTTCATTAACAATATATGATTTTTTTTCAGCCTATGTCACCAGGCTAGATTTTGAGATATTGCATAATATCTCTGCCATAGGAACCTATGGTAAAAGCATTATGATAGTGCCAAAATGGCGACTTTCCACTAAAATAAAACTATCAATATCTCGAAAATAAGGCTGGTGACCTCCAACTTTTTTTAAGTCAATATCCCTATATTGCCTTTGAGTACAGTTTGTTGCAAAATGAATAAATTCTGTTTTTTTTAATTTATGAGTAGGCTTCTACCTTAACAAAACGTTTTTTTCTCCCAAGTTTTAGTGTATCACGTGCGCCATTTTACTATAATAACAATACCTTGCAAAACATAGTCCGCGATAAAATGGTTCGTATTTACGTTTTTACTGAAGTCTGACATTAACTTAAATAGTTCGGATGTCATATATATTTCTTTCCATTTTTTGTAGTGCGGTTTCAAATGAAACAACTGCGGAAAAAAATGGCCATGCGTTGTGAGGTGGCAGAGGTACTATTGCGTAAAACGCAGACTACGGCAATCGAGGTAACTCAAAACATGGCATTTTATAAAACTATTTTTACAATTTATTTACATTTTGAAAACACATTTTTATTTTATAATCCTTTTTTAATAACCATTTTTGGTTCTGGAATCGATTTTTAAAAAACACTTTCGTTTCTGCGTTCTGTTTTAATTTTAAAAACCAATATTCAAAATTTATTTTCGTTTTCAAAATCTGTTTTCATTTTTAAAATCCATTTTTGTTTTTAAAATCCGTTTTCATTTTTAAAATCCATTTTCGCTTTCAAATTCCTTTTTCATTTTTAAAAACCGTTTTCATTTTTAAAATCCATTTTCGTTTTTTGTTGACCTTTGACTATAGGTATATATGTATTTTTCATTTTAAAGCAAATTTTCCATCAGAATTTACATAAAAATCATTGTTGTTTCCCGCCGTACTACAAACACTGGCGGCGCTCTCACTTCGGAAACGGAAGTGAGAGCGCCACTAGTGTTTGGAGTGTGGTGTTTATGTTATGTTGAAGGTCGGCGATGAAACTGCTTTGCTGGCGCAAATATGAGGATGACCAGGCCACAATAAAGGCAAGTATGAATATCAATGGCGCTTTTACTTTACACTAATGACATAGATAAACATGGAGACATTTTCGACTTGAGACAGTTACTTCAGTGTTGCGTCTTTGCCGTTGCCTTTCTTAGTGGGGGACGGTCGATTCGTCTCAAATCACATTCGTCCCACAAGTCGATTCGTCCCACAAGTTAATATTAATTCGTCCAATAAGTTAATTCGTCCCAAAGTCGATTCGTCCACTACCAACTCGCCAAATAAGCACAAAAATCCAAACAACAAACTGTTCATGTGCTCGTCATGCACTTGCATGCGTAATTGTTCCTTATGCCATTTTGTTCCAAAATTGGGTTACTAGTATACCATAGGGGGCAGCAGGCATTATATAACATCTCTGTGCATGTAAATGTTTATTTATCTGATAAACAACTCTGGTTATCAGTTATTAAAGTCTGATTGGGATAAACAGCATGTTTTCATTATGCAAATTAAAAACAACAGCTTAAATGTACAGAAAACAGAAAAAAAATGTGGGGCATCACCCTTCCAAAATGAAGGTGAAACCTTTTGTGTAAGCAAAATTTGCCCCTCAAAATGCAGGAATAGCATTTTAGACGGTCTAGATTTCAAAATTTTTGAGGGGGAGCATGGCCCGGACCCCTCTAGTAAGGTCACACCTATGGCACAAGGTTGGTAACAAGACCCCCCCCCCCTCAATTCCATGACCTGCCTCTGAAACCTAGTTAATGATAAACTCACCAGGTGGTCGCTTTGCTCTGCTCATGTGTTATTGACAAATATAGATGTTAATATACATTGTATATAGCAATTGTATAAGATAAAATAAAATTTTATTTGGAATGTACCAAAGTAACCTTAAGTAATGTCCAATAATAACAACAAAACAATACTTACAGGACTAAAACATATCAAGAATATAGAAAATAAATATTTCAAAAATGCCAAGAATGAAAGAATCATTACTTGAAACAATAATGAGAAATAGTTCATCCATGCTAAAATCTTACAACATTGGGGCATATATGCGTAGAGCTGCAAGGAATCTAAATCTTTGATTTGACAATTGTTACAATATAAATTTTAATGTTTCTCATCTCCTACTTCATTGCATTCATAGAGATTACATAGCCTGTTTTCCTTCAAAATATCTTTATGTCTACCGGATTCAATGGAAAGAGAATGTGCAGGTGTTGTAAATTTAGTATAAGGTATATATTAATCTAAATAATGGTCAAATTCAAAATTTTCTTTGAACACCTGCAAAAGTTAAGCTCACAATTGTTCAACAAATTATTTTTCCACTTCATACGGTACAAACATTTGAGCTTATCTTTAAATATCACAAAAATTATTCTGATGTGGGTCTGAATTAGTTAGATCTGATATGATTAGTATTTTTTGGATAAAGTTAAGCCATGGGTCATGCACAAAAGTTTTGGATTCTTCATAAGCTGCATCAATGATAGAATTGTTTGTTTTTTTACATACTAGTCTTTGATAATATTTCATAACTGAGACACAAATATCCAATATAAATGGATATTGACCTAATTCACCTCTACATGGGTCATTAGATGCTTTCCTGTGCACACCCATAACTCTTATACAGAATTTAATGTGAATTAATTTATCTGAGAAAAGTTTTGTTTAAAATTTGCAATTGTCGACTCACTGTTCGTTTTGTTTTTACCAGACACCTCAATTCAGAGAATCATGATTTTTTCGGGGTAGGCGCTTACCCGAGTACCCACCTCGAAAAAGAGTGCAAATGAAAATTTTGATTCATCAAGTGACAGATTGAGGGGGATATTACGTCTTTGAGAGAAAAATCAAATTACAAAATTAGTTGTGTCATCATTGATGTTTACAATGAAGAAACAGAAATGATCACAAAAAGTATGCACATTTTATTACAATATTAATTACGTACCACGAGAATTTACGAAATTAAAAACATTAGTCTGTTGGAACACAGTCGTAGTCAAAATTCTCATCATTATCTCCACTGACGAATGTGTTGGATCGTACACGAACTCTCGATGAAAATCACTTTCCACCATGATGCATTTGCAGATTTGACCTGCAATAGCGTCCTTTGACCTAATGGGTCAAGCTGGTTATTAACCAATCAGAATGCTGTGTTGTACCAACATAGTTCTTCGGAAATTCCCGAAGACTTTCCGGTAACGCATCGCGGAAGTGAATTTTCGATGTCGAAATACGATCTGTTGGAATTGATTTCAGCGAATAAATGACATGGTTTTTAAAAAAAACTGGTAACCAGCCATTTTTGAGAGGTAAACTGTATTAACAGGTCATTGTCAAAGCATAGTTTACACATGGTTAATGTAGTCTACGCATTCACAACTTATTCACAGCGGTCAATATCCATGCTGTATCATATAAAAACGTTTACCAAGATTCGTTATGCAAGACCAAGTTTTAAAGTAGTTGCATTTTGAAGGGGTGGGCGCTTTGCCGAATGTGACCCCGAATATAAAAATTGCGCAAAGGGGGAGGGGTGGTGGCATGGGCGCTAATGCGGTCGAGTATAGTATACATGTAATATTTAACACGCTGTAATTTAGTGGCATCCAAATAAAACTGAAATGTATATACATAACCTTTTAATATTATTTAAAGCTTTCAATTTGTCATGTCTGTGTGTTACACTTTTGTTACTCATTTGCATATACTTATCTTATTCCTCTTTTATTTCTTCAGTGACGTTTATAGAATGTATTGACAGAATACAGAAGTATATGAAGTATTGATGTGAAAGATTTATGTTGTGGGTTAAAACATTATTCTGTACCAACAATTAAACGTCATCTATCAGTGGAGGAACTTATCAATTTGATTATTAGTATAAGGCATTTGAATACTCATACAGAAGAAAAAACTTTGAAAAGAAGATAATGTTGTGAAACAATGGTTTTAATTAAAAAAAAGGATTTATTATTGAATCCAGTATTTTGAATAATTGCGTAATGGAACAACCAGGTGAAAAACCATTTCAGTGCCAACTCTGTGAGAAGAGTTTCGGATCTACTTATGTTCTAAAGCGACACGTGCGAACACATACTGGTGAAAGACCATACAGTTGTAAAATATGCAAAGAGAGCTTTAATCAGTCGAATATTTTAAAATTTCATATGATGACGCACGCAGATGAAAAAACGTTCCACTGCAAAGTGTGTGAAAAGAGTTTCAGTAGACGCTCCGGTTTAATACAACATATGACAGTACACACTGATGAAAAGCCACACAGTTGCAAAGTTTGCAAGAAAAGTTTCCGACTGTCAAGTAGTTTGAACAAGCACCTTGTAACCCATACAGAGGAAAAACCATACAGTTGCACAGAATGTGAAAAGAGCTTCAGTTGGGTGAATAGTTTGTCAAGTCACATGAAGACGCACACAGGCGACAAACCATTGCAATGTGAGAAAAGTTTTGTGGGGCTTGATGGTCTGAAACACCACATAAGGACACACACGGGTGAAAAAACATTTCAGTGCCAACTCTGTGAGAAGAGTTTCGGAACTACTTATGTTCTAAAGCGACACGTGCGAACACATACTGGTGAAAGACCATACAGTTGTAAAATATGCAAAGAGAGCTTTAACCAGTCGAATATTTTAAAATTTCATATGATGACGCACGCAGATGAAAAAGCGTGTCACTGCAAAGTGTGTGAAAAGAGTTTCAGTAGACGCTCCAGTTTAATACTACATACAAGAGTACACACTAATAAAAAGCACAGTTGCAAAGTTTGCAAGAAAAGTTTCCGACAGTCAAGTACTTTGAACAAGCACCTTGTAACCCATACAGGGGAAAAACCATACAGTTGCACAAAATGTGAAAAGAGCTTCAGTTGGTTGTATAGTTTGTCAAGTCACATGAAGACGCACACAGGCGACAAACCATTGCAATGTATGCAATGTGAGAAAGGTTTTGTGAGACTTGATGATCTGAAACACCACATAAGAACACACACGGGTGAAAAAACAACATTTTGTTGCAAAGTATGCGACAAAGGTTTTAGTCGGGCATTTAATCTGAAATCTCACATGGTGACGCATGAAGAGAGAAAATTTCATTGCCAAGTATGTGATAAAAAGTTTGCATATTCACTGTCATTTCAAAGCCATATGAAGAGGCACACTGGTGAGCTACCATTTCAATGCAAAGAATGTGAACAAAGCTTTACTCTGTCGAAGACTCAGAAACATTACCCTATGTCGACACCTCGTGCAGAAAAAACATCTTCTCGTGAACTGTATGAGAATAGTTTGAAAAGATTAACTGGTGAGAAAATCTATCATTGTGAGCGATGTGGTACCAGTTTCAGCCATTCATGTCAACTTAATCGACACATGTTATCGAACTCACATTGTGAGATGAGTTGTACTTCTACTGCTAACAGAATGACGACAAAAGAAAATTCTAGAAAAATTATGTTTTCTACAATATGCCATCCGCATATTTTGTTAGAATGTTTAGAAGCGGAGAGCGATGGTGAAGAAATGTTCAGGATTAATTTGTTGCTTTAGTTACAAGCATCGTAGAAAATCTGGATCTCCACAGCTGGGCAGATCAATATTCCATTTCGGGTTAAATACACTGTAAAACACATTAGAATGTTCATACATGTATAACCCATACTGATGATGTTCAGAAACTGGATTGTCATTTATTATTCTCGGACATAAGATACCTTGTAACTAATTTCTTAGTATGAGGACATTTCATTTTGCACGTTTGCATTCAATCATAAAGCCTGTCTGCTCGTGCAATTTGACAACTATCCCACAATGCACTATAATTTGAAATTGTGATACAAGTTTTTCATTTGGCTAACATAGAAATTGGAGCCTAACACAGTGAGGCAGTCTGGCAGTGTAAGGCATTAGAACATGTACATGAACTTGATAATAAAGTAGCGTATAAATGCTGACATTTCATTTGTCTATTAATGTACAAGAGCAGAAAGGGTCGCGACATTATCAATGGCTTGTTTCAAAATGATGATCAAACCACAATCTGATTAAAATCTGATGTAGTTATGAGGCTCCAAATTTTTTTTTTTTTATGACCCTTATAATATTTATTCGTATTTTAGTTTGAATACATATTATATAAAGGGTCATAAAAAAAAAAATTGGAGCCTCATCGGATTTTAATCAGATTGATCAAACCATTACAGCCAAGTTTAATGGTTACTCTTTGATGGCTGTCACTATCTTACATTCCTGCAATTTGATTTGTACCGACAAAAGCGTTGGGGGAAGTAAAAAACTACATCGTTCTGTCAGGCTATGTATACAGATGCGGTCAAGAAATGATGATAGGATTTTGTGGATTGTCATAGATTTAATAACAAGATTCAAAGTACAATGTAATTCAATGGTTGCAATTCTATTTTTTTTTATTTTGATTAATGAGAAAACTTTATTTACACACATAGTTAATACAGCTGGGTTGTATTTCGTCATTCGCAGGTGTTATTCAGATTAAAATGATTTTCACACTATTGTTTTATTTCACGGTGTTCACACAATTTAGAATATGTGGTCATGGAACCTTTTTATGTGGAAACAAAAATGGCTACCAAACATGAAAACTGCTGCATTTTGGCATAGACACTCTAACTGAATGCGTGCTAATGCGTGAACCGTTAGGTAAACAGGATTAAAATGAAATACCGCAGTTTCCCATCCTTCTTTTATATAGGGTCTATGGTTTAGGCCATTTAACATGGTTTCAATGAGAAAGAGATATTTTAATATCTGAATATATAGCAAATAATAGTATGATGATGAAAGATGGGTAATTCTGATTGTTACAAATTATTTGGAGATTCTGGGAGATACTATTTATTTCTCCTGAAATAATGATTTTATATGGATTCCTATAGAAATTGTTCCAAAAATGCATTTTTTTTTGCATTTTTGTACCGGGTAAAAGCACTCAAAAGCAATATACCCAAATCCAAAATATATAATTAAGTAATAGTTAATACAAAATATTGTAATATTTCCACCCTACTTAATACCCGCGAATGACGTAAAAACGCTACAGTCGTTGCACCCATAGCGAAGTATACAACGCGTGTAAAATACATTGTTTATATACACGAAATTCGAACACGCGTGGCAGCTGTGGCGTCTTAAGTACACACTATAAAGTATAGGAAACAATCTATTTAAGCGTAAGCATAATTAAACCCACGGACCCCAACTTCCTCCTCGTCGTGCTGGGTCAGCACCCGTATCACAGTCCGGGAATTGCACGGGCACGGCTGTTTCATTGTACTCCGCCAGCCTGTCTAAGAGAATGTTGACAATGCCGGGGAAAGTATCCGAAAGATCATCCTGTTCGTTTGGATCCGCAGCAATATTGTACAACCAGACCATTTTACCAGGTTCATTCAAATAAATGTTTTTCATATTTGGATATTCAGCTGGAGTCACCCAGTAGTTGTGATCTGGAAATGGGATACAAATAAATATTAGTGTTTGCTTCCAGAATACAGGTTTTCAGTGCGTATTTGTGCATGCATGCATGCATACATACATACATACATACAAATATACCCCGTATTATACTCTCCCTCGATCAAATTATTTGGATCTATGATATCAAACACATCGCGCCACTATAACTTTGGCGTTTTTGATTACTCACGTGGATTGCCAGTTATGAGTTTCCATTCTCCCATTCTGATAGCAGCATGTACGTGGACATCAAATTTCTTGTGATCCCATTTAGTGTGGTTTGCGCATGCCTCACATGGTATTAATGGGTCAATGTTTATCAGAATCTCAGTTCTCTGCGATGGCCTACCAAGACTAAATAGATAAAACAACGGATGAGACATGTGAAAATGTAGTACCGGGGGTACTAGCATTTTATCGAACTATTCTTGATTAAATACAGTAGCTTTTTACAATACCATGTTATCACAATTACTTTAGGAAGAGTTCGTGAAAATTCGGCACACGCACAATGTAGTGTTTTAAAACAAGATGTCCATGCCCAACAGCATTGACGATGAAATCCATCTGCACTTGTTATGACTCCATATTTGGCATTTTGCAACCAACGATAAACAACAACGATGCTATGTAAAATCTGCTATATCTGCCAAAATATGTTCAAGAAGTTTTTGAAGATGAAAAACATTTTCTTTTGAGCTGCTCATATTTTGAAAATGAAAGAAAAATCTTACTGAAAAAAAACTTACTGAAGAGAACAAAGACGTAGTATCCTTAAAAATTATGAAAAATAACATTGCGTTTTCACTATATCTAAAAAATATATACAAAGCACCACCTGTGTAAACCCCTGGGTAGGGAGAACCTTTACTTTGATGTATTTACTGTATTTTTATTACTTTCTGATTTATTTGTAGCTGTTAGACCTTTTTTAGTTGTATGTTTTTAATTTTATTTTATAGTAACTGTATTTTCACCTTACTAGGTGTAAATCGTATAACTGTCTGAACTTTAATTGAAGCCTCGTGCATTTTGACCTTACCTGATCGTTTCCCACTGGTTATATCCATCCAAGGGCTTGGTACCACTCAATTCTCCACCAGCCACGTGCACTAGCGTAGGAAACCAGTCTGATACGTGCATCAACTCCATATTCTCAGTACCCTGCATGTCTGGTGGCAATAACGGACTTGTGACAAACCCTACTGCTCGGATTCCACCTTCAAAGAGGGACGTTTTCCCACCCTTCAGCGGCCAACTGCATCCGCCATATGCAGTAGCTGCACCATTGTCTAGGTATGACAGAAACGTACACGTCGTATCAATAGTGCATTAGTATAGTAACACGATCATGGCCAATTAGAACTTTGTGGCTTTCTGTACACAAATAACGACTAATTTCATAAATTAAAGATGAAATGTTAATATATGATCATGGTAGGTATGTTTTTGTACCACATACTTTTACAGTCTCCCTTAAACACACATGTTGTAGAATCAGACAGAGCACTAACGTAACTATGTATTAACGTTACTATCATTTGCACCTCAACGACGCAGTGCATAACAAGTATACTAGTATTACTCAAACGGGCTGATGTGAACTATGGTGGGCTGGACAGGACTGGGGTAGACTGGGCTGGAATAAGGTTCAGACTATGTTGGAGTGGACTGGAGTGGGGCTCAGACTATAATATAATACTGGGCTAGGCTTGAATTCATCGGGGTAGACTATAATGGACTTGATTAAAGTGGGGTTCAGGCTATACTGCACGATGAACTGTAGTGGCGTAGTTTACTCTAGGATGGCTAGACTGGACGCATAGAGCCAGAGTCAACCACTGGTGGCGCTGTTTAGTTTTGACATCTTTCAGTGACTCGCAAAGGTAGTCTTATATTATAAGGGAAGTAGCACTTGTTTAAATTTGGTGACCAGTTTAGTATGGTGAAAGCGTGTAGAGTCTTCTAATAGCCATAGGGTGGAGGTCAAGGCCAAAACTATATGCCTGCGGTGTTTCATGATAAATGCTTTCTAATAATTGCTCCTTAAAATAATATTCATGAGATATGTCTACTTCATAACCTTATTATTAGCATATTGTGTACACAATGTGCATGCTTCAGGTGGCACTTATGTATTCCACAATACAAGCGTGACAGTGTCATGGTATAGTTGGTACAAAGTGTTCGTTGATCTATGAAGGGTAACGCCACATACCCGCTGTAAACTATGGGCCAATTCCTCAGTGTTCACATGGACAAATTCTGGCCATGTCTATGAAACTACATCTACACACACTTCCATTTAGTGAGGGGATCCCTTGAACTTCATATTCAACAGATCTTCTCATTACCAAAGTCTGACATAACCATCAACAACAACCAAGGCACAATCCTTCCCTCCCTTAAAAACAATCAGCAAATTTTAAATAATCCATGTCTACGTAAAGCGGTAGGGTCGTCACCTGCGCACGCGCGGGAATTGAATTATTATGGGAATTTCCCATTCTGGCTCCCATAACACTGGTTGGGGAAAAACTAGGCTAGACTGGATTACACTGGACAAGTCAAGGAACAAATAATTAAATAATGAGAAGGGATCATTCACCTGTGGAAAATATAAATATCGTGTTATCCCAAAGTCCTGTATCTTTAAGTGCTCCTGTGACGTCGGCGATAGAATCATCCATACATGTTGCCATAGCAAGAAGAATTCGCCTGCTATTATCTTTGACGTCAGCATACATGTCTTCATATACCTTAGGTACCTCTAATGGAACATGCACAGCTCCAAAAGCTAGGTATAGAAACAGTGGCTGCAATGGAAGAAGAAATAACTTTTCGTTAGCCATGCAGTAAAATGATAATTAACCATATGAGCGTCAAAGTCAGCATTCACTATGATTCACAGAATAAAAAAATGTTATATTTATCAGAGATTTGTTTTTCTTCATCATTTTGATCTAGACCTCCATTTGGTCAAACATATTACGAACAAATACTTAGACAAAATGTTGCACCAATATTATGTTGGAATAATAATGGTGCTCAAATGGTTAATGACATTCAGATACACGCCACGGTGTAGTGTTTTTTTTTCTACTGGAAGGAACGATTGTATAATTCTGAGCCAGACTCAAAAGATTTCTGATTGTTTCAACATCATGTGTCCTATGAAGAAGGTCCCTTCATGAATTGCATACCCAGATTGATATATGGCGGGTGCTACCGAGTGGGATAATGCTCACTCATTTGCAAAACACCTGATATCACTTCTTGGTCTTAACCTCTCGGTTCATATAATATTATGTTGTACATGAATTGCTGTGATGCCCCAAAACTGATCATATTAGCATATTAATATCTCTATTACTGTATAACCCATACATTTGTGTAAATGTACTTTGTCCATGAATATTGTTATATGTCTCTTGTACTTTGTTGAAATCCCAATATAACTATATAGTATAGATTATTGGATGGGTATGTCAGTGTTGCTTATATCGCAATGTGACCTTTGACGTTCCTTGTAATTATCGTTTGTAATCTTGAAAATGAGTTTCCTGTCATCACTAGTATTCAATGCCTGTTAGTGAGTTCCAAGCGATGATTACAACACACGCTAAAAACGCAAAGACTCATGGGTAGACGCTTGTTTGTAAACAATGACATGCTATGGCCATCTGACGCATGCGCAGGTGACGACTCCTCGCTTTAATTTAACCGGAACTCACAATTGAAGTGTGGAAAGATACTTAAATAATGACATCAACGTTCAAAAATGTGGACTCACTTTTGATGGATTATGTTTTCTGATGACATCCTCAGCCTCTTTTGCCAATACGTGCGTCTGATAATGACCTTGATAGTATGGAGCAACATGTTCTTCATCATTTCTCCAGAGATCCGTTCCGCGCATGCGTAGTACGGTTTCGTTCTCAAACTTGCAGAATTTTCCCTTCTCGTAGGTGTAATAGTCAACTGCACAATTGTAAAATCCTGGAATTAAGATTAATGTAATTATGTTCAATAGCAGAACTAGATTAAACATGTGAATTTATTGCAACGTTTGGAAAAGTAGAGCGTACGAGATTTGTTGCTGTGACAACTATCAGTTGATTTGGCGCGTGGGGGCATATAACTGTCAACATTGGACAGAAAATTAGCATAATCAGCTTACCAGCGTGTTGCACTAATCATCCAATCAACTCCAAACTCAACATTTGTGAGGCTATTGTGTGAGTATCATGTCACTGGAATTTAACTTGATTTTCAAATACGTTTTTTTAACCTGTTACACAGACTTTGCGCTATTATTATTTTTGAACAATGGTATGACAAAAAAGTGGGTGATATCTTTATTTATTTATTTATTTACTTATTGACTCTTACACAATCCCCGGAGGGAAAGAAAATGGTCACAAAGTACAAGGAGAAAAATATATATAAAACATTATACTAAATAACAAATACAATCACTAAATAATTACTAAATAATACAAAATCTCTAATAATACTAGCTAATACCAAAGGACCCGATAGGGGCGATAAATGTTCAGTGTTCTCACTAGCACACTAGACTTGACGGTAAAATTAATTTCACCTGAAATGACAACTGAGCGCAGAATGAAACTTGTGGCTGCAAAACATAGTCACTACACGACGTCAGCAACTAATAGGCTCGATCGCGGTTAGTGAGTAGGATCACTAGTTCAAGCGTGTAAAACATTTTATCAAGTGAGGAACTCGTTTTTCAAGTTAAGCCATGTTCCGCAGCATTTTAAGTTGAATTATTATCCAGCTAGATACGAACGAGACTGAAACAAAATGGCGGGTTATATGACGTTCCCGGAAAAGAAGTACCACGTGACACTGCCGGTCTGTTAGCACCGCATATATAATGAACTCACCGAAGAAACTGTCGAATCCACGTTTAGTAGGCAGGCACCCTTTAGTGTAGTGACCCAAGTGCCATTTACCAACCATGTGGGTGGAATATCCGGCTTCTTTTAGTTTTTGTGCGATTGTAACCTCATCAAGTGGCAGGCACGAACGCTGGTCAGGATTTATCACCGTGTGTTGTAGACCTGTGTGTATCTAAACGAAATAAACCGTTTCATAAGTCTTAACGTAGTGCATGGCACAATGATATTTTGTATATACAACATGTACGTAAGTGTAACAATATAAAATACGTTTGTGAGACATATTAATGAGAGGGAACGCCACTGACTCGTCTTCGAAATGGGTCCTATGCAATGAAATACGTTGTTTATTTACACTAAATTCGAGCGCGCACTGGCACTTTAAAGGACGGCAGTCGTCGCGCCACGCATGCGCAAGATATATGGGTTTCATATAAACAAAGATGGCGACTTTGACTGTTGCGCAGATCAAAGCAGTACAAACTGAGACGATTCCAAGCTTTAATTAGGTAATTTGTAGGTGATTGGAAGGTATCGAACGCGTCACCGACGGTAATTAGTGCAAGTCGTGCCCAGGTCAAACCTCATACTTGTGATTTCCATTTGAAGAGCGCATTGGATTGTGGGAAAATCAATGTTTATCATCGCAAATGTAGCACAAGCGCAGCGCGACGACCACCGCGCTTTAAGTCGGTCGATAAATACACTGATACACTTGTCTTGTCTTACTACATCACTAAAAATGCACGTTAAAGGGCGGTGGTCGTCGCGCCGCGTCCCGTTCGATATGGGACTCATAGCGACGTATAGAACGTGTAAAATACATTGTTTATTTACATGAAATTCGAACACGCGCTGCGCGACGACCACCGCTCTTTAACAATTTGTAATTATTCGAAGACCAACGAGAACAGATTAGGAAGTTTCAAGTTAATTCATAAGTGTTTTGCTACTCATTGCGATGATGATATTGTGATTGTTTACGTGACATTCGGACGAGTAGCCTTAAATACGCCCAACCCGGCATGTATCAGACAGCCTGCCAAGTGACCATCGGTCGGGTATTAGTAAATATCGCGTACCTGACAAAATGGCAGGATACCCACGATAGAGCAACGGACAGCAGGAGTCGGGACTGTAACTATCAATATTATTGGTTGATTTTAAAATATTATTAGTATTATTATATAATTGTGAAACACAATAAATAAAAGAAGCGTGCACGTGAACTACGAGTATAGAGATTAGTGAGTGTCATGAACCGATGTTACCAGTGCTGTATTGATCCATTGATCAAGTAAAACATAAGTTTTATCACGCTATATTCATCCCGTGATAATTCTGTTATAATAATAGGCCAGGAAACGAACAGGATTGTGTCATTGACAAGAACCCTGCATGGGTACCGAGAACTACTGTAAAACGGTTAATTATTCACTGGGTTTTAATTTTGTTCAGCTTTATTTCGCTGACTGGAAAATGCACTAAATTAAAACCCAGTGAATATGTAAAATTGAGCATAGAACACATTATCTAAATGATAAAACCGTGAATTTTAAATCAGTGAAATTTAAACCCAGTGAACATTAGCCATTTTACAGTAACTTCGGAATCATCACCCGTCGAAAATGTACGTACAAACGGCGTGGCACGTTTTGCCATCGTATGATGCGTAGGCCGATGTTACTAAAATCACTGTGTGTTCATGTACAATTTTCCCTGCATATACCAGTAATAGTGACAATATATTCTGTAATATCTCATATCATGTACGTATTCACGTAATTATATTATCATATTATATTATTTATTTATTTATTTATTTATTTATTTATTTATTTATTTATTTATTTATTTATTTATTTATTTATTTATTTATTTATTTATTTATTTATTTATTATATTATTTATTATATATATAAGTGAACGATAGAAGCCAAACACACTTTAAATGAAAATGAAATTAAACGAATTTTGTCGTATATTATAATAAGTTTTTTTTATCCCCCTTTAAATATATAAAATTATACGTTATGCTCACGCATACATATGGAATAATTATTTGGGAATCAATAATTATGTGCATGCGTAGACTAACATAATAATTCGTTAGACTACTGCGAGGTACAGTCACGCAATATGGTGGGATACCTCTACGTAACGAATGCGTCACATGTGAGTTACTCACTCGCCGCGACGCCCATGCATCCTTCCCTTCCACAATCCCCTGAAATATTATAATCCAGCATCATCATGATTATAATTTAATATACACACATTTGGTGGCTGGCGTATGACGTCTAATCGAATATTTTACATTGCGTTTGGTCATTTTAGTGATTAATATAATCGACGGGTCAATATGTATTTGAATACGGGCGGATCTAAAGCGTAGGGCCAGGGGGAGGGGACACGAACAATTTATCATTGTGCAAACTGTACCTGGTATCGCCCTGACATTAACTGACTTCTTGTCGGTGTGCACATCGGTTGGACATAGTAGTTCTCCAATTTGATCCCTTCACTCGCCAGTTTATCCAGATGAGGGGTCTGAACTCTGGATCCATGGTAACCTATATCATGCCAACCCAGCTCGTCCGCTAGCACAAACACTATGTTAGGTTGGCTACTCCTCGCTACGGCACATCGCAGCAATATACACGCTACCACGACCCCCGAAATTGTCATCGCGAAACCAGTACAAGTACCCGTCTGCGTTATATTTATTCTGTCAGCAGGGCTCCAACAAACGCTGCAACGAACGGGTATAATATTTTATAATGATGGATTGACTTGGAAAGCGGAAAAATACATTCAATTTGAAACAAAATAAAACTAACAAATTCAACTCAAAAATTCCACTACATTTGTTCGTAATTTTTAAAATATCAGTTACCTCTAGCAGCATATTGGTTCACCCCTAAGTGACACAATCAACGTATCGGCACAGGCTGCTACCCGTACAATGAACACACAATCCGACTGTGTGCTGTACTATATCTATATCCAAGCCATTGGAGTTTCATGTTTATTAAGTACTGTGACAACAGCTTGCGTCGAAATATATTAAACATAATAACAGACATCCATCACGACGAGAGGGCAGGGGCATATTCGTATCTGTAATTGCGAAAGTGGAGTGTCAACAGCATTGGTCGAAGTGTTATCAGCGAATTGAAATTACAACAATTAATACGTTGCTTGTAAATATAGGGTTTTCTGCCAGTCGTCCATTGGTGTATCGATCGATGGTAACATATTCCTCTTATATCACAAAAATTAAAGCGGGGGTGTCGTCACCTACGCATGCGTCAGGTGGCCATAGCGTGTCATTGTTTACAAACAAGCGTCTACCCATGAGCCTTTGCGTTCTTAGCGTGTGTTGTTATCATCGCTTGGGACTCAATTCCTCCGCGTGCGCAGTTGACGACCCTTCCGCTTTAAACCTGTGTATTCTGTAACATAAAAATAATACGATTGAGCTGAAGTGAACTGAAACTCGACGACGCGAAGTGAAATGACGTGGTTGCCATGCTAATATATGTAAGCATTCCGAACAGACGAATGAATATAAATATTAAAAATGTATTTATTATACGGGTTTGGCACTGCTAGCAAAAGTCATTACCTCGTCTATATATCTTTTACAATTTTAGGGTAAATAACGGTGCTGTCAATTTAATGTCCAAGCACATCAAATATGTTAATGATATGTACAAATAATTATAATAATTGTTGCGTTACCAAAGACACATTGTAATATTGTCCATGCATTACATGTGTGGCACAGTTTAATCATTAACATATACCACGTGTCTAATTTAAATACTGTGTAATGACTAATTTTCACTGGGTTTAAATTTCACTGTTTTACCATTTCAGGCATATTCAGTGGGTTTTAAATTCACGGTTTTATCATTTAGATAATGTGTTCTATGCTAAATTTTACATATTCACTGGGTTTTAATTTAGCACATTTTCCAGTCAGCGAAATAAGCTAAATTAAAACCCAGTGAATAATTAATCCCTTTACAGTACGTTGAGCATAAACAACACTGCCCTGTCATTTGTGATTGCAACGGTAGGATGTAATATAGCTGTTGTCCCAGTGATGACAGTATGCTGAGACTGTGGTACAATGTTGTTCACTGAGGTGCAATGTGTTAGACTTGCGCTCACAGTGGTAAAATGTATGGACTGTGGTCACAGTGATGACAGTATGCTGAGACTGTGGTACAATGTTGTTCACTGAGGTGCAATGTGTTAGACTTGCGCTCACAGTGGTAAAATGTATTGGACTTGTGGTCACAGTGGTCGCAGTGTGTCAAACCTGATGTCACAGCTGTTACATTATAATATCCTGATTGGTTTTATTAATTTTGAATACAACATAATCAAATTAAAAAATACACTCTGTGATCACAAGCCTGTACCACTGTGACTTCACCACTGTGACTTCACTTCTAACACACTGTTACCAGTGTAACAACAGCCTTAATGCTAAGTTTGCACTACTGTAACCACAAATCTAACGCACCGAACCACTGACCACAGCTTTAATGCACTGTGCCAATATGACAACGTATCTAACACATTGTACCACTGTGACTTCACTTCAAACACACTGTTACCACTCGGTGTATATTACAACATGGAGGTGATACATAAACAAGGTGCATTTAGTTGTAAGGTACAAAACACGTTGTTCGTTGACAGAACAATTCAGTGAATCTTGTTACCAATCTTTTCTTGCCATAGTGTGCAAATGTATTGTTTTTATTCGTCCACACCCTGTATTTCCCCCCCAAAATACTGTAGAATAATTTATTTTAGCTGGAATTAATTTTCGCTGAATAGACTTTTTTTGGACTTTATATACAATTTATTTTCACTGATTTTTGACAGTTTGAAAGTAAAACATAGGAAAAAAGGTATATTCACAGGATTTCATTTTCACTGAATCATTCCTTCAGCGAAAATTAATTCCAAGCGAAAATAAAGTATTTTACAGTAACCGCTAAAACCCTATTACCGATTAAGCCATTAGAGGGCGCTAATGCACTATTTAGTCATTCGATACAGACAAAACATAAATTAGAGTACACTGCATTGAATGATTTTATATATAATATATTTATATACGTTTTATGAATTCACATGATGGTTGAAACATCCTGGAAAATCACAGTGTCTTAACGGATGAATACTGTCTGTATGAAATTACTCAACGGTCAGAGTGGCGTTTGTTCCGACTGCTACTTGAAAATTAATGTTTCGCAATTAAAACGAGCCGTGCAGAACTATAATGACAATACTACTTGAATTACCAATTTATGTAATTTATAATATTTATATAATTTATTTGTTTTAAACAAATTTAATAGAATCTAAGTCCCGCGTAAATAATTTATTAATATAAATACATTTTTTATAATTTTTTTATAAATAAATAAACGGGACCTTTGGATTTGAATGTAGCGAGATGGTCGTCGGAGATAAATGCTTTATCAATTTACATTAAAACGATCATGTCTAATTGAAAAGTATAGTAGCATAAGGCATATTTAAAAATGTTATGGAGTGGAAATCGTAGTATAACAAATTCGAAACAAAGAAACGGTCAGAAACCAAAAACCAAATAAATAGTAAGTTCAGTTAATTACTAGTTGTCTAAACGTCTCTCACGTCAAATATCACCCGGGGACATCGTAGTACACGCCTCGCTGCTTTATGACAAATTATAACTGTTCTTGGGCGAGATAGTTTGTTTCCTTTTTCGCCAAATCTATCTATATATTGAATTGACACGTTGTATGTACGGCCACCATGTGCATCACGAACTAAGTCTGGACAAGCCTACAAGTATAGCTGACCGCATTCGAACTGAATATTACGTGCACAGAAAATGGTCTATTCAGCGTTTTATTTAGAGTGACCATCCCAGAACGCAACGTAGATCATGGATGAATGGATGGATGAACCATGGATGGATGAATAATAAATAACAAACTACGGACATTTAAACATGCTTCCAACGAAATGCCCGACGGAGCGCTTCATCGTTTTAAACAGACGGATACGCCACTACGCAACAGTAATCGTTCCGAAGAGAGAAACCCCAAAAGCGAATAATTAAAGTGGATTAATGACAAAACAGGCGTACATAAGTTGAATCTCAGACATCACTGATAACCTGTGATATTAAATGTACAAAATATCTATTTGTCTCATGAATTATTGTTATATTTTCGTGAATAATATTCGTACTGCATAATATATATCTTATACAATAGAACTACATTGCATGAAAGAACCTAAACATTTGATATAATATCAACGGAGTTACAGTATCTTAACCCGCCCCAATACACGAGAAGTCCTTATATAATAAATTAAATGCAACAGAACTTGACCTCCTTAATTATGACATGGCTAAAGTCAGACTTCTGAACCCGCTATACACATTCAAACTGTGTCATTTTTTTCTGAAAAAAACCCTAGAATATACCTTTCTCATACACAAATCCAACAAGTGTTTTTGAGTGCATTCATTCAGCAACGAATTGTAATTGAGCATAAATTGTACAGTTAACGAATCAATGTTCAGGTAAATCATGATGATATTACTGGTATCACTTTTGGCACAATGAAGACATTGAGCTCATTTAATAAACAGTATACGTACTTTATAAAACATGATTGAACATTTGTTCTATATAACGTAGTATGACTAAACTGTATATCTCCATGTAATGGTGTAATTTTTAGAACATTCATGTGAGCTGTTCAATTTTCATAACATGAGTAGCCAAGTTACACATATTCAGACCATCTAACAGTTGTTTTAACGTAGCATTGTCACCCATCTTGATGAACCACAATTTTAACATTCGTTGTATCTTGGCTTTCACAGTAGGGATTCTCTTTATTTCATCGACGTCAGAGGGATCGAGCTCAACTTTCCTTGCGAAAAACAAAAGCTCTTCGCAAACCATGTTCCTAACTAGGTAATCAACAGCTGGCTTCAGTTCTGTGAAAAAATAATCATGAATCAATGAAGTTATTTGACTAATAATCTGATAAATCTGACTGAAATCTCTATGATCGGAAATTGGAAGGTAACTGACTGATTTACCTTCTGGGCAGTTTACTTCAAGCCATGCCTCCTGAACCTTAAAGAAGATACTATAGATTAGAGGGCATCATGTGCAATATCGCGGAAGTCTTAATTTATAACTCTATGATTGTACTATAGGTGTCGCATAATAACATATTGTTTAAATATTGATATACCTACATGACTGGCTGCTTTTATTTAAGATGAAGACGATATTGAAGTCAATCCTTTGCTTTTGCGGCAATACCCATGATATACCTTTAACCATAACGAATGGCCGAAGTCTTATTGGGTCATCCAACAATTTTACACCAAATATTGAAGTGAAATTGAACTAAGTATCCATTCAATGCCATCAATTCGAAACACTAACATGTGTAATTATTAATAAAATATATATATATAATATAAACAAATCTACTTACTTTGCAATACTCAAATGTAAAATTTTTGATATTTTGCTCATAAGGGGTTATTTTGTTTCTACCAGAAATACAAAAACAGCACCCAACAAGCGGAGGGTCTTCCAGCTTATGCCCCTGGTGTTTAAGCATCAACACTCCAAGAATCTTAGTAGTTGAGTTTGAATCCTTGACATCAACAATGATGTTTTGTGTGTTATTTGGGCCTTCGTTGAAAGTGCATTCACCAACAGTTTTTAACACGAATTTGTCAGTAACAGAAATGAAAACTTTATCTCCTATTGCCATACCAGTTACATGTCCTTCATCAATGCACTTGTAACCCCTTCCATTTAAATAATCTAATCGTGACGGTGTATCATCCTTGACTTTCAGTATATATAACAACATCTGTGCACAGTCGTCTTTCTTCTGAAATAACTTTAGAACCACATTATATATACCGATTCCCAGCTCTCTGCGTAACTGCCAGCATGTTTTCTCAATTGATGGAAGGGATGCAGTAGTGCGTGGAACCATAACCGGTATGTACCTGGAGAGTATGATCAGAATAACTTACTAATTAATAATGCAGAAATATGTAGATATAAGCAGCATTCGAATGTAGACTTCAGAGATCGAGGCTAGGAAACTGGGTCGAACTACAAAATAAATCAGGTTGCTTGGTGTACGAATTTTCGGCATTAACAACAACTTTGGTTAACAGATTGGACACCTATACACATTGATGCCACGGTGGTTGTAATAATACAAGAAAAGAATAGTCTCAAAATGACACCTGTGTCACTACCTCCACCAGGAAAGTTATGTTCTTACTGGCGCTGGTTTGTTTGGATGTCTGTAAGCAGGGTAACTACACAATGTTACACATTATTTGTTCTGATTTTGAAGGAGGGGTTGCTTCAGTGATACAGACGAAGAGATCTGGATGTGGTTTCCATGGGTAGAAGAATGTCGAAAGGTTTTTTCACCATTGCTATTTTTTGACATTATTTTAATAATAATATGAGTAAATGTTTTGATAAGGTGATTTTCTAAAGTAATAACTGTATGAATATTGGTGAAAACGTGTAGATCATTCTTTTCGATAAAATAGCTTACCGTGTGAACTGCTTGATGTCACAAGTAATATTTTCTTGCCCTTGTGCACTAGGGATTTTATGTAACAACGTCCATTTGCTGCCTTCTTGCCGCATCACCAGAATTCGATGCTGGCTTGTTGTTTGATCAACTACTGGCGATGGTAGTGTAAAATCTGCGTTTTTATATAATGCCTTTTGATCAGTGTTACAGTTGTCTAAACTAACCAAAGGCCCAACATAAATATGTTTCTGAAACAAATCCTGGACAATGGTCAAACTCGGGTCTGGAATTTGAACCTGAAAATAAAGAGGAAAGTATGTTATTAATGGTCAGACAAGTAGTAGGCTTGAACAAACCAACATTTGATAGAAATCAGGTACACAATCATATGAATTACTATAGAAGCTTTATTTTCATACCATAACGTCTATATCGGTGGGACACTTGACAGCAGAGTCTTTAATCACAAGATACACATTTTCCATTACTGTAGAAGTGATAGTTGTTCCCTTTACACCAACAGAAAATCGTTCCTTTTTTGGCGTAGATAGCACAGCAAATTTGCCAAGTGTCGACATGTTCGCACATATAGCTTCTTCATCCTGTTAAAAAAAGGATTAGTACTCCCAACAGGACCGTGGTAACAAATGTGGACCTACATGTATATGCCATTTTCACACCAGCAATTTCAGGAATATTTCACCGTTAGAAACATTGTTTTATCATATATGTCGTTCGTAGAACATGTTTTACTCACCATGTATGTAGTCTGCAATTGCCGCCAATATTTGTGTTCAAGTGTGTAAATCGATATGGACTTTGTTCGGTCAGGTTTGAATCGAAACCCTAGTATGGATGGCTTGCAGAATTCATAGGAGTCTGATGACATATCTATAATATTGGATTCCAATTTTCCAAACTGGATTAATTCATCAATGTAGGTTTTATCTTGTAGAGTATGAACTGTGATGTCACATGGCTTTTTCACACATTCCGATGTGACTTTCATGAAAAAACCTCTTTGCAGTACGTATGTAAATTCCTGATTTCCAAAGAAAAAAAAAATTAATAATGTACACAATATAACATGTCAGTGCAGTGAATTTTACTTTTGAAGTCTTACCTTATTTGGCACAATATGAATTACTCTGTCAGATCCCAAATTTTCATTTTCTACAAAATTGAATGACAAATGATAGTCTTAATATTTTGAAACCTAAATTGTCAATATTTTTCAAAGCAACAAAATAAAAGATCGAATCAAATCTCAGCACCATTGAAAGGCGTATTCATAATTGAAAGAGTAATGTTTACCAATTGCTTCAAAGTACTCTCTGATGGAACAGATGCCTGCTAAACACACATTCATGGGTGGTGTCTCCATTGTTGTTCCTTCAAGTCCGCACTGATTCAAATTTGTCAAACGAATAATTCCGATTGGCAGACTGGTCAATTTGGCATTGCCCTGTAAATCCAAGATTTCCAACATTTGTAGATTTTCTAGAATAGAAAAGTAAGGAGAAAAACTAACATTCACACATTTTCCTAAATTTTATCGTTATTGAAATTTATAGTTTATGTCTGTATCCAGTTTTATGTTTTATGCTTGAAATACATGTAGGGTTAACCAGTTTCTATGAAGACAGTGTATGCCTTATTCAATAATACTTTAATAGCTAGAGAGATTTTATTAGATTTTATTTAAGATAAAATGTCTTATTATTCATTCATATTTTGATAAACAGTGGTATGGACTGTTATCAACAATTTAAATGACAAATGTTATTCGATTTTATTACAAGAATATTACATTATTACATTCCTATTTTGAGAAATAATGATATAGTAAACAAATAATGAGCAAGGATGTCTCATGTTTTTTGTTCAACTTACTGATGCTTAATGGGATTATGGATAAATCATTGTGTGAGATATCAAGTACGACCAGTTCAACCATTTTACCAACACTCTCAGACAAATCTTTAATCTGGTTTCTCATTAGATTCAGCCTCTGTAACTTTGTCAAAGCGTAAATTCCATCTGGTATACATGATATAATGTTGTTTGAAATGTTAAGTTCTGACAGATTTGTTAGCCTAGCAATAGAACTAGGAATTATTTGTATTGTGTTTGATGATAAATACAGTCGTTCAAGTGCGACGAGGTTGCCAATTTCGTCAGGAATTTCTGTTAGCTTATTCTTTGAAATATCAAAGACTTTTAAATTAGTTAAACTTCTTATATCCGTCGATATGCTAACTATTTGGTTATCTGAAAGATTAAGCTGAACAAGGGTTGTAACTTTATATAGTGTGTCTGGAAGTTCTCTCAAGCTATTGCTACTTACATCTAACCTGTTCAACTGATACAACGTGTGTATGTCTGTTGGAATGATTTGAATATTGTTATTAGATATATCTAACTCTTTGAGAGATACAATACTACATGGGAATTCATTAATATTGTTATTGCGAAGGACTAAGGTCGACATTTTAGGAAGTGTGGAAATAATATCAGGAACATCAGATAACAAATTGTTTGACAAATTTATTTTCTCAAGCATGTTAAGTCTTGATATTTCCAAGGGCAATGAATGTAGTTTGTTATTTTGAAGGTCTAATTCTATTAGATTCGTATATCTATGTATTAGTAATGGGACATATGTGAGTTGAGCGCCATCTAATCTGATGGTGCGAGTAGAAACGTCAAATGGCTCCAGTATTCTGAGTTCTGTTGAGACAAATTGAAATGTAATTGTTATTGAATGACGAAATGCAGACTGTAAATTGACTAGAAACAGGACACAATGAACGAATGTAAGAACTGTCAGAATTGTATACAATTGTTGTTTATTCGCACAATTTTGGGTCAATAATAAGACCTCTTTAAATGTATAGCATAACAATGTTTGTTGCAGCATTAGTTTTATGCAATACAAATAAAGAAACATTGATACCTTGTTCATCCCAATAGTTGCTAAGCAACTGAAAATAATTTTCACATTCATTTATTGGAGGATCTTCAATTTCATTTCCTCTTAATGAAATTGTGCGTAAAGTGGTTATCCTCTTAATTTCACGTGGTATAGATGTCAGCTTATTGTTCCTGGCATGCAATTCTTCTAATTTACACAATAGTCCTGTACATTAAAGGAGAGTTATACAATATGTCATATAAAATTTTTGCTCACACTTGTCGAATGTTTTTAACATTGAACAAATAACTATGGTCAACATGAACTAATAACTCGCCACACGTACATGCATAGTTACCACATAGTGTCTATTCTTTCTGGGAACTCAATACATAAAGCTAGTCCAAGAACACAAATTAATGTACAAATATAGACACTACAATAGTGTTAAATCAACTAATGATTTACAAGCTTGATTCAACATACCTATGTTCGGCGTCATAGAAGTAAGCTGATTGTCCCCTAATTCAAGCTTAGTTAATTCCTTTAGAACTCCAATTGTTTCAGGGACCATTGTTATTTGGTTTCCAGATATATCGAGTTGCTGAAGCAGTTGTAAATCACCAATGCACTTTGGTAGTTCAGAAAGTTGATTTCTCCTAATTGCAAATTTAGTTAGTTGTTGCAGCTGACTTATTGAAGATGGTATTGTTCGAATTTGGTTGCCTGATAAATCTAACTCATTAAGCGTTTTTAGTTTACCGAACGTATCGGGTATCTCAGTTATCTGATTGTGACTGATATCTAACATTTCCAGCTCAGACAGAATGCAAGTGTTATTTGATATTTCAGTAATACAGTTTTGACTAGCTTGCAACAATTGTAATCCATCTAGTTTGTGCATATCAGCAGGGAGGCACTCCAACTCATTCTCCTGAATATAAAGTTGCCTCAGCTGCCTGAGATTACAGAAATCATCTGGTAGACAACTCAAATGGTTTTTGCTCAAATCCAAGTAGCACAAATTGGTTAGTGTACACAACTCTACTGGCACCACATTAAGATTATTGGCATGTGCGTTTAGGTTGGTCAAAGAATGCAGTTCACTAACTGTAGACGGAATTTCGTCAATCTTATTGTCCGAAATATCCAAATCCTCCAGAGAGCTAAGTCCAGTTAAATCTTCTGGCAGCTGAGTCAGTATATTATTGCTTACATTAAGTCGACTTAGGTTACTGAAATTAGGGAAAGGGCAGGAAAATTCTGTGATTTTATTGGCAGAGAGATCAAGATTTTTTACATTACCAATATTAGTTGGGAAAATAGTTAGTTTATTGTTGCTTAAATGCAGTATCTTAAGTTTTCCAAGCTGAAAAATACTGACAGGGATCTCCTGGAATATGTTGTCTGATAAGTCTAATTCTTCTAGTTTGTTGAGTTGGGATAGCTCCACGGGAAACGTCGCAATGCGATTTGCGCTGAAGTCTAATTTCTTTAAATCAGTGTACTCGTCGATCATTGGTGGGATGTAAGTCATATCCCGTTGGGTTATTGTAATTTCATCAGTAGTTGAGCGATCAAAATCTTTCAATAAGTCTCTGTCAATCTTATCTGGAATGAATAAGAATGTATTCATTTGTATTAAAAGTACACAATGTCAGAACAAACAGCTTTTTGATAATTCGCAAACAAACAGCAGTATCTCATATAATTCGTTGTCTGGGAGCAAACAAATTTTGATATTTAACATTATTTTGAATTTATTAGGAAATGTTTCAATTATATTCAAATTTGATTAAAGTTTCGTAAATTATATTATTAAAAGGGGTTGCCTTTGATACACAGTAATCAGTTGAATTTTTTTACAGAGATGTGATTATGGCTGCCATGGTAACATAACATTTTGTGAATTACTGTTCAAGTTCAGGAGGGTGGCTCTTAATACAGATTACATGTTGGTGAAGATTCAGATATGGTTGCTATGGAAATAACATTATTTCTCATTTATTACTCAATTACTGAAATTGTCAGCAGATTGCCTGATGCAAGGATCAATACATTACATGTTGGTAGAGAAGTGACCCAGTTGCCTTGGGAACAACAATTAGGCCAACAGAAGATAAAAATTACAAGAAAGCAAAACAAAACAACATACTTGGAACTATTTTCTATCATTCTCTCTTACCCAATTCTTCCCAGTAAAAGTGCAAAGCATCCAGACCTTGCTTGCAAACATCTTCTGTGGGCTCTGTGATAGGATTTCCGTGTATTTGTAAATCATTTAAGTTTACCAATTTATGCATTGCTCGTGGTAGAGTATCTAGTTCATTGTTTGAGATGATGAACTTCGTTAATTTTCCCAGATTTCCTAGAACAAATCAGGATTAATATATAATTGAAAGATTCATAATTATTCATTATTAAAACCTATATTGAATTAATATGATAACACAACATCAACATCAGTATTCATTATTAAAACTAGTAACTGTAAATTGATTAAGAAGTTTTCTAAAAATTTCATTTTCATTTTGTTGGTCCAGGATACATTTAGGTCAATAATGACATTGGTGCTCTTAATATCGCAATATCGTATCGAATATGGCAGCAAACTTATTTTTGCCACATTTTTGAGCCCATGTGCGAATGAACACAGGAAAATGCTACAGATTAGTTAATTCAATATCTTACCTACTGTTGATGGAATCTCGTCAATTGTGTTGTCTGATACATCAAAAGAGAGTAAATTGTGCAGTCGACCAATATTCAACGGAAGTTTCGGTATCTTATTTTTCTTCAGATTTAGATGAGACAGTTGGTACAAGTCGCAAACTGTAGACGGGATCTCAGTAATACGGTTACCCGACAAATTAAGATTCTGTAAACTTGTCATCTGACCAATATCCGAAGGAATATCAATGACTGCATTGTCACTGATATCTAGTGAGTGTATCTGTGGTAAAAAGCATCCAGATGGTACCACTGATAGGTTGTTACGGCTGAGATCTAACTCTCTTAGATTTTGAAGCTGGCTGATTCTCTCTGAGATCTCATTAAGCTTGTTTTCATGAAGATCAAGTTTATTAAGGCTAGTGAGGTTCCAAAAGTCTAATGGCAGTTCTTCTAACTTATTATTATGAATGTCTAATATTAAAAGCTGATTTAATTCACCAATAAAAGGTGACACATGATATATGGCATTGTTAGACAAATTGAACTCCTCAAGTTCATGAAGCTGGCTAATGGATTTCGGTACTTTGGTCAGTTTGTTGTCACTGATATCCAGTTTAGCTAACGGATATTGACACGAATCTGGAATTACACTGATGCTGTTACCCGACAGATCCAACTGCTTCAGATTATCAATGTCATTCGGAAACTGTGTAAGCATATTGTTGCGCATATTCAGCTTCTGAATATTTTGGATTTTGCAGACATGTACAGGAATCTGCTGAAAATGGTTGTCTGATAAGTTCAGCTCCTCAAGTTGCTGTAATTTAGCAAGTTCCATCGGAAGGGACATAAGAGAGTTATTACTGATATTCAGAGCCTTTACATTGGTGTACTGACCAATCATAGACGGCAGATAAGTCAATGACCGTGATCCAAGTTTAATATCTTCACTCAGAACATCGATATCCTTCATTAATTCCACCTCTATATTTAGTTAAAACAGCACAAGAAATTAATCATCACACTGAAATATAAATATACGTCAGCCATGCTTATACATAAATCATTGTATTTTTGTTGTATGATGCATGATTATAAATCATTGTAGCATGAATCCTACCTTCGGTTTCCCAGTATTGTCTTATTTCAACAATACCCTTTTCGTAAATATGCCTGGGAATATCTTTAAGGTTATTGCCTGTTAGAGACAACTCCTTCAACTCAATCATGCTTTTTATATCACGAGGTAATGACGTCAAGCGATTATGTGCGATGTCAAACCTGTGTAACATTTGTAATCGTCCTGACGAATTAAAGAAAACATTATTAAATTGATTATTGGGATAATATATTCTACCAAACTCAACGCAATTACAATTCAAATATATATGCTGATAGACATACCTATTGTTGGAGGGATATCTTTGACTTGGTTGTTTGAAATATTGAAAATCTGTAATTGTGTTAGGCAACCGATCTCACCCGGAATCACTGACACGTGATTCTGGCTAATGTCAAACTTAGCAAGGTGTACTAAACCATCTACCGATTTAGGAATCTGTGTTACTTGATTTTTGGATATGTCGATTTCCTCTAAATGTTTCAGTTTACCTATCTCAGCGGGAATCTCAGTTACCATATTATCCTTGATGTTGAATTTGATAAGATTTTTTAATTTGGAAATTCCAGGAGAAATTTCCTGGATTTTGTTTTTGAACAGTGATAGCTCAGTCAAGGCGGTGATATTGTAGAGTTCTGTCGGAATCTCGGCCAAATCGTTTATGTTCACTGAAAGTGAAGTCAGTTGTTGAAGATGAATAATTGGTGTAGGCATTGATCGAAAATCGTTAAACGACAAGTTCAACTTTTGAAGAGTCTTCAAGTCGGCAAATTTATCTGGTAATTCTGATAATGCATTGTCGTGCAGATCAATAGATTTCACTCTAGTGTATCGCGCGATATCTTCAGGCAGTGCATTTATATTACAACCATTCAGATCGATCACTTCAGAGTCTTTTGGAATTGTAGAAAGGTTTTCCATGTCTGTAATTGAAATGGAATAGCACTTTTCAGATGTCATGTATGTACAATTATGCTGAACTGCTATTTCAATAAATGCTGAATATAACTGAATGATTCGTGGTAAATAAAGGCAAACTTTTTTCAAATATTAACACATTTGTAACCAATACACTAATCCAGCATGGTGTAACACGGATGTTGCAATGAATCACGACATGGACGAGCTTGAAAACGTTCGTATATGAAGTTCACAGTCCAGTGGTACATCTGGCCAGTAAATAAAACGACTTCACACTGAAATATAACATATTGTCTTTTACTTCCCTTACTCATATTACCTCATTAACATTTTCTTTTATGCTATCGATATAGTTACTTAGGTCATCGATTACTTAATATTATGAGGTTAATACAAGTAATAATAACCTTATTATTGTACATCTTTTCCTTCCAAGGATACATCACAGGAATGACGAAATCCAAAATGTTTAGAATAAAATCAGTGAACTTTGTGTGGAGTCCGGTCAAACCCTGGTGGAAGCCATGTTTGTTTTTATCATTAGAGGGGGCTTATACGCGCGTAGTCGTTCCATATTTGTAATGCGCATTTCCTAATATGGTGGAATTAAATTACCCCGTAAAATTACGGCACGCTGTAACTTATGGCGTATAATAATAGGCTTTATTTTGTGTGTAGAATTATATTCTACCCGTTGTTTGTGGCGTCGTCGATTCGAATTGCGCATGCTGTACTAGATATGTGAAGGCGCGTTCAATAGTGTAACAGGCTATTTAAAGTTGTCTTTTTCAGAACAGCACGAATCTCTTATACGTTAAACGTGACTTTAATTTCGTTTAATATCTTGTAATTACGAAATGACTTTTATTGATTCTTTTCGCACGGGCTAAACATAATATATTGCAATACGTGGCCAAATCGAAAGATAAGATGCCCATATAATCAGCTCCACGTCATTGCAAAATATACTTGCAATAGGCATGTTTGATCTGACTGGGTCGGTCAATCGGCTTACAGATAGTCATACGATACTATATACTATATTATACAAATGTTCACCCCAACAGACATGGACATACAGTTTTAGCGACTCGAAGAGCTCATTGTCAACCGAGGCATCGCTGTTGGAGTATACATTTCTATTATTATACCGAATAAATCTTAAAACAGAAATTGTGGCACTCAATCATGGAAAACTTCCAGGTCACGCCTGTAGAGCTGAATGCATGTATGAACACAAATATACAAGTTGAAAGAGTTCAAGAGCAGTGATTGAATTTTATTGAGTTTTATCATGGACGCTAGGGGCGGATCTAGGATTCTGGAATGGGGGGGGGGATAAGTTAGCCGAAGGCCAAGCTTGCGAGCGCCGAAGCCTTGTTGGTTGTTAAAAATAAGGGGGGCGGTTTATGTCAACACCATTCTCTTTCAACAAATATACTGTACATAATATGTGATATACAGTCAGAACACACAAAACACGTAACAAATCAAACAAAACGATGCCGTGACACGGCAAAGCCCACGACTCGCGTTTATTAGGGGGGAGGGATTTTCACTTATTTCATTCATACAGTTTGATCATTTTATTCGCAAGTTTATTCGCATTCGCAATTTGTTGTGTCATGCATTTGAGTTACCTTCCATTTGAGTGCTACTTCCTTTTGAATGTGAAGTCATACGACTTTTCACTATTATTTCCCTGTGCCTGGAGGGAGTGGGGTCTTTTCTACGTGGCATAGTGCTTATCGACAAACAATCATAATATAATTACTTTACACTTGTTGCAACCGTCATTGGTTTGTTCCGCACAGGTGGTACCGGATGTATAATTTTTTTGTGTGTTTTTGTTCAATAAATCAAATATTTTCAAACTTTTTAATCTAATAAATCTAGCAAAAACATTAAGTGAATACAAATTTTGAATAGGTCGGGAACTAATTGCGTCGGTAAGCCGAAATTTTATAACCACAAAAAAAACAAAAAAAAAACAGAAACTAAACGCCTGTAGTATATACTAAGAGGGTTAAAATTACGTTGTTCTTTAACCACGTTCACGAATGACACGATCAGCTCATGAAGACGACACGTTGTACTCCCTCGTTCGCTAGGAAGTCATTGTCACAAACCACGCAAGTGATCGTCTGAACAGAATGTACTTTAATTCACATTGCTGAGTGTGTAGCCGCCTCAGGAGATACCGATGGCTCACTTAACGCGAAGCACAATACAACGGTCGAAAACAGAAATGGTAATTGGGTCATGTCAACCACGACCGCCATAAATGAATGATATTGTATTGGCTTTCAGGAATGGCTTCTGACTTCTTTTGTGAACGTTGAAAGTGTTATTTGACAATTCTAAAGCAGGCCATGCTTTGGCACTTATTCAGTGAAGCGTCTCAGACTATACAATTCTAAAGTTTGGCGTCTATTTTACTGCTAGTTTTGTTCCTCCATTATATATGTGATACTAAAATACATTGAACTTATTGTGTCTTCACCCATCAGAACAATATAATCCGATTCAGTTGTTCTTTTTGTGCAAGACGGGGCTGGAAAGATACCGTACACATATCCCAAAGTATAACATAATTGGTGATAGTTGGTTACAATCGTTCAAAAATTCAATACATGTTAGAATGAATCTCAAGATTGAATGGCTAAACTCATTTGATTTTACAGGCACCCCCGTAAGTGGCTCGATATCGTGTTGTTTCGCTAAGACATATAATTTATGCACATTTCTCATTTGGTGGCTTGGAAGCCTTCGTTGACCACAATATACCAAGGCGATGTAATGCTGAGTAGATAAAATAATGGCTCGGTAGATACATACAATTCAGTTTTTACTTCTCAATCTGCCGTCCTTTTGCATGAGCGCACCTAAAGTACTTCACATATCTTTCATCCACTTGCACCCACACATTATATCAAACATGACCAACTGATACAACATTTTGAGCAAGAATAATTAAAGTGCAACGTTATTTTTAGAAAAAATGACGCTAACGACTGTCAATACAACTCACCTGTGTCACTATGGGAACCAGTTTATCAGTCTGATATCGACTCTGGGTACTTGGCGGCGAGTGAAGCTTCTAGATAAAGTCTACACAAGCACTCAAAGATTATTAGTTTACTGGAATCGTTCCAACATTCACACATCCGTAACAACACAATAACCCGGATTCACTTTAGCGCAGATAACCACAATGTAGGCATGAATAAGTCGTATTGTATCCCCAGTTAACAATAGACTTACAATTATTTCACAAAAAGAGTCTGGAATATTGTCACAGCAAGAATACCCCGAGGGCTGGTAACCCCAGGCAGTCGATATTTCTCTATCGAATAAATTGCATCGTAAAGTGCAATATTGATGACTTAGTGTTCATCGAGTTGTCTTAAACAGATTAGATACCTGATGACAAATTAATTTAACAGAAAATTGTGCTTTCAATGATTGCACAGTAACAGTTTGTTAGAGATGGTCATAGCTTGTTACTGTTTACAAACAAGCGTCTACCCATGAGCCTTTGCGTTTTTATCATGTGTTGTTATCGTCGCTTGGGACTCAATTCCCGCGCTTGCGCAGGTGACGACCCTTTCGCTTTAAATAATAACGACCAGTGCTCGCAAATACACTATATGAAATACAATAAACTATATTCCTATTAATAGGTAGAATAACTTGCGAATGGTTGATGATTAAAATAAATAAAATGGGAAATGAATCCAGCCTGATCTGATTCGACGACTTATTTATTGGCAATTCTTATGTCTGTTTTGTAGTTGTTGTATTCCGATCCGCAAAAGTCAAGTTTATTTGAATAGACCAGTGATGTAATAGTTGAGGTGAAATCCCACGCAATTAGGCATGAACGTGACACTAAGGATAATAAGGTCTTCATAGAATAGCTGATACCAAGAATTACCGTTGGATGGAACATTCAAATTAAGTTTATAACTATTTAGCGTTAGTCCCACACGACGTCAACTCAAGTTTTAAACCTGTGGAGACATCGATTCAATGCAATTCAACACTGCAAGATTGAAAGTAACTGGACCGTGCTATTACCGAGGTTTCAAATCTGAAAACTAACTGTTCGTAGTCTACGGCACGGGAAATTATTGATTTAAACAAGTGTCAACAACTTAGCGGATTGTTGTTACATGGGCAATTAGTTTATGTCGTGCAACATTTATTAGACTGTGTAAACCTGTTGGCATGAATTGTGTGATAAAATTATTATATTGCCATCACACCAAATGCGGATAAAATAATAAGAAATACTATTATCACCAGTAAGAAAATACTTTGTTGGTAATTTGCTGCCAAGTATGTTTTTAATCGAAAATGAATTGTATCGGTGCTTGAAAGAGTTGCGACTGCCTCTACATAAGAAATTGTGCATTGCGGGTGAAAATAACAGATAACTGAATCTGGTTTGCATTGAGAAAATGATTGACTAATAAAGTTAAAGAAAAAATGTTTGCTGTTCATTGATATTCTGTTTGTTTTCGTTCTATATGACAACTATCGATCGTATGCATTAGTAGATATTTCTATAATCGATAATATAATTAACCGTATTAATCGGTCATCTAGTTCTGCATATACGACGCCATTTAGCCTGAAGCTCCGTTCAGTTCATGGGTTGACCAAGCAAAACGTTACAGTTCATAATTTGTCCATACTTTTCTACACGTGGCTCACTGTTTTTTTGGGAGGGGGTAGTGAAAGTTATCGTTTCAAAGTGTTTAAAGGGTTCTGGTCGCTGTGTATATTTATATAACATTGATTATTCGACGAAAACAACGGTATAATGCTCTGTTCGTCATGATTTACTTTTATACTAGTTGCGACAAGAAGATCGTGTAGTAACGGAGATCGGAGCATTCGGGTATAATATCGCCTCAGTTTGTTGAAAATTTTACCCAACCTCAACATTTAGCTTGTTTAAATTTGTATCATTCCAAACATGGACCTCCATGCTTCGAGGTACTGTAGTCAGAAAATTGATAATCGTGACATAATCACAGGCACTACTAAACAACTCCCGAGACTAATAACTCGTCTTGAATATTTCTTCAGCTTCGTGATAATTGTAATAAATTCATGTGATCGCAAAGACACTATATAAAAAAAAAAAATTAACGCCATTCATGTCAATAGGTCGAATAACACGAGAATGGTTGATGATTAAACAATACAATTCACTTTTTTGACAAGTTGCTCCATTTAACAAATACTGCACAGCATAAATAACAGAAAAAAACATGCACAAGGACAAAAAAATGTACATGTCACAGATGAGACAGAGTTGCTCCGTCCAGATACACAACAGTAACTGTTAGAGCAAATAAAAAATGTTTGTTTCGCAATTCTCGCGTTATATTATACAGAACATTATCATACCTATATTAGATTGTGCACTGTATACTATATTGTAGAACATTGGAATAGATTTGAAGATGCAATTGTCACAGAATATAGAAGATAGCAGGCATCCAGTATGAGTATGAGTACTCGGTATATAGCTTATATGACATAGCCAGGTCAGGCAACTTGTGCATATGAAATAAAAATTGCAGTTCTTATTGATCGAATGAATGACCCTATGCTGGTCATTAAGCTTATACAATACATGTATTGCATAACCATCACAGATATTCTCAATTTAGTCTTTGACAATTTTAGTAATTGCAGATTTGTTTAATGCGCTAACACGTTTATTACTTGCATGAAATGCGCTCGTCGTTCATCGTTCATATCGCCAAGTAATTCCATTAAAAAACGTAGTCAACTCGTCGCACACTGGTACATTTGTATCAGTTACAACTGCGTTTCCAACTTGTCGACATGCCTGTTATTATTCTCACTCAATGCTAGGCTTAATCATGTGCAGTACCAACCAATGTTTTGTATGGTCAATGCTGGGCATTGAATTTGCAAAGCCTTACAAGAGTCGTTTTACTGTTTCAATTACAATAAGGTCTTATATGTTCTTTGAATTCTTTCAATTATTGTCTTATTATTTTGTTCTCAATTATCCCATATTCTATGTATTATATTTTTAGAAATTCAGTTCACGTTTCGAATTGCCTTAGTTTTGTGATATAAATAAGTTCTTATTTTATGGCGTAACAGTCGGTTTTATATAGGTTTTTGATTTAGTGATGCAGCATATCTCCGCAATTGTATCCACCATTTCTTTGAATTCATTAGTGACTTCCTGTGAAGTGTGATTGAAACAATCATTGTGTGTAACGTTGTTGTTCTTCAGTTTGTTAGTATAATTTATATATTTGTTTGTTTTCTCTTCATGCACTTTGTACACATTATTGTGTACATTGTTATATAAATTGATATCATCATCTTTAGAATTAGTTCAAGCAATAACGACACAATATTGATATGTATATCAACCAGATGGTTTTGGACAGCTATACGTTATGTATCTGTTAACACAGAATTATGAACAAATACAGCCATCCCAAGTGAATAATCCATTAAGGAGTCGAAAATTTCAAAGAAGCAAGACAATAATAGCCTCACAAAATAATACAATATGAACCATTTTGGTAACTAGTATATTTATTGTGAAATAAAGGCGATATCGTGATGCTGATATGTTCAGTGTTTTGCAGCATGCCAATGACTTTTACAGGATGACATGAGTGCTTTGACACCTGGAGCTGCGTTATACCAAATATACAAAATGTAGACAGTTGAAACTTATCTCGTAGACTAGTAGAATTCTCCCATAAAGTGAATGAAATTACCTGGCCATAAGCTTGGATTAGTAACAGAAAAGCTTATAATAAAATAGAATAGAATAGAATAGAATTCGACAAAATATAAATAAATGTAAACAATAAACTGCAATTCGATACACTACACTACATACTCAACTACTCTACACTAACTATACACACTACATTACATTACATCACACTGCAGTTTACACTACACTACACTACACTACACTACACTACACTACACTACACTACACACTCAACTACTCTACCCTAACTATACACACTACATTACATTACATCACACCGCAGTTTACACTACACTACACTACATTACATTACATCACACCGCAGTTTACACTACACTACACTACACTACACTACACTACACTACACTACACTACACTACACTACACTACACTACACACTCAACTACTCTACCCTAACTATACACACTACACTACATTACATCACACTACAGTTTACACTACACTACAATGCAATACACTCATAAATAAAACAAAATTGTCCAATTATGCGTGTTCTGTGTATGAAACTGAGTAAACATTATCACTAGAAATGAAAAACGGCCATAATGTTGAATCCAAAATGCATTATCGTCTGATTAAATTTACTAAATTCTGCAAATGAAATAGAAAAAACAAATTTTGTATGGCACCTGGCGTTTTACATTTCGAGTGAAATTTCCACCATTATAACCTTAGATTATATTCACCTCAAGCCCATATTAATAGCCTTGGATGATATCTACATCAGGCCACTATTATAGCCGTAGATTATATCCACCTCAGGACCATTATTATAGCCTTAGATTATATCCACCTCAGGCCATTATTATAGCCTTAGATTATCCACCTCAGGCCCATATTAATAGCCTTGGATGATATCTACATCAGGCCACTATTATAGCCTTAGATTATATTCACCTCAGGCCATTATTATAGCCTTAGATTATACCCACCTCAAGCCCATATTAATAGCCTTGGATGATATCTACATCAGGCCACTATTATAGCCATAGATTATACCCACCTCAGGCCATTATTATAGCCTTAGATTATATCCACCTCAGGCCATTATTATAGCCTTAGATTATATCCACCTCAGGCCATTATTATAGCCTTAGATTATTTCCACATCAGGCTCATATTATATAGCCTTGGATGATATCCACCTCAGGCCACTATTATAGCCTTAGATTATATCCACCTCAGGCCATTATTATAGCCTTAGATTATATCCACCTCAGGCCATTATTATAGCCTTAGATTATATCCACCTCAGGCCTATATTAT